ATAAAATAAATTATATATATTGTTATTATAAACTGAAATATAATTAGATAGTTAATATTTTTGACTAGTTTGTTAGCTAAGTTATTTAAAGTATTGTTATTGTTTACTATAACCTTTTCTAATTAGATATCAAATTTATAAACTTTAATAAGATTGAGTAGAGTCTAGTAGTTATAGAAGTATCTTTTGTTTGGTGTAGATAGTAACTATATGAGTTTTTTGTATTTAGATATAATAAATTGTGTTTTCTAATATAAATATAAAATAAGTCTACTATTTAGAAAATATAAATATAAAAGAAGGCAACATTGAGTATAAATATAATGTTAAAACTTAAAAATATATAATAAGTAGAATATCAAAGGCTAGTTTGAGATATAAATTGGTAAAGTTTAGGCAGAAAGTAGAAGTGTTATTTGATAATAAAAATATCAAAACTATTGGATATTCTATAGAATAGGTGGGCAAACATCATCAACTCCGCAACTCTGATATTAAAAAATTAATGATTACTAATCATTAGTGAAGCTTATTTCTTATATTACTTATCTATTCTATAGAACATCCAAACTATTATTTTATATAGAAATCTAATTAAATAATAGTCTTTAGTTTGAAATATATGTTATTTAGAATAATTCTAAGCTTTAATAGTAATCTAATAAGTAAAAAAATAATAACTACAGTCAATTCTCTATAAATACATATCATCAGGACCAAGCTTTTGAGAGCTTGTATTTAGAGAACAATAATAAAAAATGCATTTATGAGAGTTTAGTATATATTTAGACCAGAAAATTAATATGTATTTAAAGAGGTTATACACTTAAGAAAGTGTCATTTATCACCTAATTATTTTAGAATGGGGTTCTCTAACAAAGTATCATATACATTGGTATATGATTAATCAGTTTTATTATTGTTGAAAATGAATGTAGTGAAAATGATTAAGATCCATAAATTTTATTATATAAGGAGGGGATATTTACTATTTACAAAAAATCAGGTGATAAATGACACTTCTCTTAGGAAAGATGCATTTAGAGGGGCCAACTGTATATTAAATATAAAAACTCAAAAAAATGAAAGCTTAAACAAAACCAATTTAGAAGTTGTATAAGTATAAAAAGATAAGAAAAATAGAGAATATAGATTAGCTAGATATAGATATGAGTGAAATTAAAATTCAGATAGTATATAAATAAGATATAGATGATCAGATAATATAATATTATTAGACTTTTAATTAACAAGTTGTTTTGTTTAATTAAGTATTTAAGCAGTTAAGAAATATATTTATAAAAATTTTATAAAAAAAAATAATTTATAAATAAGGCCATGCAAATTAAATTAGTTAATTCTCATCACATGGAACAAATAAATAGGACCTAGCTGGCCAGCAAAAAATGTTAGATTTAAAAAATTTTTAATATAAAAAATTTTTATAAATTTTTTTTTTATATAAAAATAAAAAAAAATTTATATAGAAAAAATTTTAACTTCTCTAAAAAAGTGACCCGGCCGGGTGATGAGAATCAATTTTATTAGTTTGCGTGGCCTAAGATAAAATATTATTAACTTATTTCTATAGTAATACTTATAAAAAATAATTATAACTAACAATTTTATAAACAAAAAATATATTTATTAACTTAAATAATACTCAATAAAATAATATAAATAAAACAAATAAAACCAAAATACAACTCAAGAAAAATAAATTTAATTTTAAGAAAAATATTACAAAAAAAAACTTATTCTCAACAAAAATTTTAAAATAAATATAGAAAATAGAATTTATTTTTAGGATTTATTTAAAATTAACCAGTGGTAAATAGAATTTTAGAATTAGGGTGCAGTTTTAGAGATTTTTTTTTAATATATAATATAATATAGAGTAAATATAAGGTCCCAATTTAAGTTCTTGTGAGGTTTTCAGAGGTTCTGAATATTTTTACTTAATCTACCCGACTCCTGTTTTATAGTGTAGTTTTCGAAATATAGCACCCTGGTGAATTTCATCTCCGGTAAGTATTAAAATACTCCTTATTTTTTAATATAAATTAATAACAAAAATAAATATAGAACCTATTCTTAAAACAAAGTATATAATTATAAAGATAAAGTAACCAAAATATAAAGACCAACTATCCCTTTGCCTTAGAAAAAGTGGAAAGTTTAAATTTTTTCAGCATATTAAATATAAAAAAATTTTGTTATAAAATTGTAATTCCAAGAAAAGAGTAAATAAAGTGTTTACTAGTGATTTTGCCAATAAAAAAAAAATTTTAATTTTATTAATTAAATATAATTAAATAATTGATACAAATAATATTATATTATAATTTAATATAATTATTATATTATGCTATACAAGTATAATAAATTAATAGGTTTAGGTTGCAGATAACTCCTATAACTTTTGAGTTAGCAAGAGCTCTGTCTGAGTTTCTAGTCTTAGTATTTTATAGATATAAAATTCAAATAATATAATTTTTTTTATTTAATTTGTAAAGAAGTTTAATTGAATTTTAATAAAGATAGAAGCATGGCCTCATCTTTGAAGATTAAAAAAAAAAAAAAAGTATAATAAATTAAGGATATTGCTATTTCCACCATTTTTTGCTATTTCCACCATACCTCTTTCCAAAATTTATTTGGTCTAACCTAACTATAAATAAAAAGAAACTAAATAAGAAATGAATAGATCATAAGCTATGTCAACATGAATAAAAATAAATTAAATGAGAAGTAAATAATATATGAATGACGCCAAGGAAAATCCGGACTTCGATCATATAAATTTTATATGGACTAAGTTTGGTTTTCCCTCGGTGTCATTAAATAAGTGTCAGCTTACCTTTGAATAACCGATTGAAATAGCAATCAAATCAATACAAAAAATTGAATGTAAACAAATTAAGTGCTAGCTTATCTTTGAATAATTTGATTGATCAACATAAAGAAATTGAATACGAATAATAAGATACGTAAACGTATTAAATTGTCACTACACTTATTGAAACAATTGGAGAAATACTTATGTATTAATCAGGTCGTGGGCACTAACGTCGTATTTACGAAATGTAATCCTTCTTTTATAATCAGTGATAGAAAGAGACCTTTTTTCCAATCTCTAATCAGTAGTAATAAATCCAATATAGAAAAATGAAAAATGCCAAATATCCCGTAAATAGATATGAAAACTTGAATCGAGCCACTAATATATATGTCTGAGAATCATGCTTTTACTATCATTTGTTACAACATTTGAACATAAGAATTTTAAAACTTAATTGTAAAACAGATCATGAGAAAAGCAGTAAAGATGGATTTAGGGTGGATTAAATTCATGCGCAGAAGTCAGAAGAAAGTATTACATATGCTCTGATGAAACTACGTGTGAAATTCCATTCACATCCCTACTTTGCCACATATATTATCAAATAAACTGCAGGATTTTGCGGACACTCACCACTTAATTTGCATACACTTCGTTAAATGTTTAATATCACTCCATTTTTAGAATATTGTTGTTTACGTTCCTAGCTTTTAATGCGACGGCATCTCGCAGCTACCGTATTTGTTAATTAATTTGAAACAATTTTAATTTTCAACACTAGCGATCTAAGAAAATTTAAAAAAACATAAGTTTTTATATAACCACTCGGCTAAACAAAGAAACATCTAGTACACTAATGAATGTTATACTAAATAATTGGAATTTGACAAGAAATCTTTGGAATTGAGACTTTTGTTTGATAATAGATTTTCGTGTGATTGGCGATTATCTGCCGATCAAAAAACACGATAATTTTTTAAAAAATATATGAAATATGTAAACGATTAGTACTATATTTGCATAAATTAAAAATAGGATGCTTAAATTACGAGCTACAGTATATACGTCTTGGTTTAATTTTAAAGTGTAAAAAGCTGAGGAATCCAATTTGTTATTAGTGGTAATTCTCGAGAGGCTAAGTTCACTACGATAAACGCTATTTATAAAGTTTCATCGTATATAGTTTTCCAGAATTTACATAATAACTCAGATATGAAATTAGAACAATTTTATTAGTTCTGTCTTAAGAATGACTACATGTTTTTTTGTTGAAAGTGTCCATTCATTTGTTGGCAGAATCATACTCTGATAAGTTATCCGAGGCGTCTAAAGAATTGATCAATTGTGTAGACTGTTACAGTATGTATGATAAATAGGGCTTATTGTAAATTGATATATTGTTAGAATTGATTTTTAAATAATTTCTCTTCCCTCTTTTTTCATCTTAACGTGAAACAACTTTTCAAGAATAGGTAGTAAAAATTTTAAATAACTATTTACAGCTCTACAAGTTTACAATGCGGTCATTTGGTTTTTTAATAATCATTGTATTAATTACCTTTTGTCATTAGATTAGTAAAGTTCATCGTAAGATCTAATATGACTAGATCACAAAGCCAAACAAATCATTATCAAAATGAGCTACTGTCATCACAACCTTCCTTAATTTCTTCTGGAACTCCAATAACGTCAGTCTCCCCCTCATTACAACCTACTAGATCTAATTATCCGAGAGATACCCATTATCCTGATAGAATCCAATACCGCTATGATTCTGGTTCTTCTAATTCAATATCTTCGTTTTTCCCCGGAAGCCCTGCAGCAACTCCAACTACAATTACATCCGCTCACTTTCCAAATGGCGCATCGGGTCATTCTGTATCTGATGGATATAATATCACACCAGCATCTGGATCGTTACTATGGGATGAAGATAACGCGGACGATGAATTACATAATATAGACAAAAGCACTGATGATCGAAAGTGTGTATTGTTTTCTAAACGAGGTTGCTTAAACGTAGGCGCATTGATGCTCATCCTTGGAGGTATGTTGGGTCTGATGGTAGTTTATCCGGTGTATACTACTATAGTGAATAGCGAATTGTTAAAAAAGTCTGGTAAAAACTCAACTCGAATCGCTGGAACTCTGTCAGACTTTGTTGATATTGATACACCGGAATCAGCACATACTAGAATAGCGAGCGACGGGACCATTTATAAGCTTGTGTTTTCTGATGAATTTAATAAGGACGGTAGAACATTTAGACCCGGAGACGATCTATACTGGTATGCATTAATGATTATAGTTGACGGCAAAATAAATTTACGAAATTCTGCATTGCCACAATATGTTGCCGCATTGTAATGCCGAATAATGTATTGTGGCAATATAAGTTGCGTTCAAATGTATGCCGAGATTAGTTCTACCGTTAAGTTAAAAATGCAATTTTGCCACATTTAAAATTTCAAGCCAATTCATTAGTCTAGGCAATTTTTTAGGAATTATAGTAGATTGGTATGAATGACCAGACCATTATGTTGGTGTACAAAAAAAAACCTCACTAATCAGCTATAATTTCCAATTCTAATATTACAGTATATCACAGCGGGTCCAGTATGGTACGGTTTTTCAAATAAGTACTGTATACTCCGTACCATATTGACCTACTCATTAGTTTTACACAAATACAATCGATTTGCTTCAAATAAATTGTCTAGAAAGAAATGGATTACAAACAATGTGTCTTAAAGTTTTATTTACCATATCCTTAAAACAGGGAAGCTGCTGATCTTCATTATTGGCTTACGAATGATTTGCAATGGTATTCACCGGATATGGTTACAACCAAAGATGGAAAACTTCAAATTACTATCACAAACGAAATTATTCGTGGGTTAAATTATAAATCTGGGATGTTGCAAAGTTGGAATAAGTTTTGCTTTCAAGGAGGAATCTTAGAAGGTATTTAGTTTCTACTATCGCGTCACTTTTTTTCTATTACCAGTAATCTTAATTTTAAACTTTTATAAATATTATTTAAACGTATATATACTTTTAGTTTCGGTTTCACTTCCAGGTGATGGTAAAACCCACGGATTTTGGCCAAGTGTATGGACCCTTGGTAATTTGGGTCGCCCTGGTTATGGTGCTACGACGGATGGTGTTTGGCCATATAGTTACGATGATTGCGATATGGGTATCACACCCAATCAATCCGACACATCTGGTACATTTTCATATATTCCTGGTCAACGTCTTAACAAATGCACGTGTCCAGGTCAAGATCATCCATCACCTGGTAAAGGTCGTGGTGCACCAGAAATTGATGTATTTGAAGCAACCATTGATAGTGATGGTCAAAACCATATATCGCAATCTGCTCAATTTGCACCTTTTGACGCAAATCGTATGATCAACAAGGACTTTATTTATATAGATAATCCAGATGTGACAACATTCAACACCTATGTTGGTGGAGTGTGGCAACAATCTATCAGTTCGTTGACGATGGTCAATAATGAAGTTTATAACAACCGTGTGTATAAAAAATATGCCTTTGAATATGAACCTGGGTCTGGTGGATACATAAGTTGGTATGTTGGTGATCAACTTACGTGGAGAATGAATGCTAGCGCCGTTGGTCCGAATAAAATAAACGACATAGGTCAAAGAATAATAAGCGAAGAGCCAATGGTATATAACTTGTTATAACAAGTAGGGATGGGGGGTTTGGTTTGGTTCTATTTGGTTTAAATCAAATTTGATTGATGCATTATCTGCATAAATTAGAATTTATATTAAACCAGACC